AAGCGCATTTTTTTAATATTTATTGCCTCAACTCTGTAAGCACAAATACCCACTCTTTTATGACCTCCTCAAGCTCAGACTTGCTGTGCTTCCTGTCAGGCATAATCACTTTTATGGTACATTTCCTCCTGCTGCTAGGTGAGCTGTAGGACATCATCCGATTTCACTATCAAAGGTACTCTTTGTAATGTTTGTCAGTCAGTACTGCAAGACTGGTGAGCTCTCTCTTCAATCCTATTCCACTGAAGTCTATGAAAGTCAATGAAGTGGCTTCTTAAGCTTAAATGGAGCTACACCAAAGTACATTACCTGAGGATCTGACTACTGGACTGTGTCCAAATGAGTGTGGACATTTGGCTCCCCAGAAACAACTAGCGGCAGTGTACCTTGTGCTGCTGGTAGTTGTTTCCGGGAACCACGTGTGCCATGCGTCCTCTGGAGTGTGGCAGGTTACCCCGGGTGGGGTGGGCGAAGCTAAGGCCAGCACCAGGCTGGCCCCAGCAGCCTTACCTGGGGTCTGCTGCTTGGAGCCTCGCTGGCCAGGCTTCAGTTTTAAGAGCACACCCTACCCCCTGTACACCGCTCTGCTTTTTTCTTGCACAGGTTTTTTGACCCCTGGATATCCAGGGGTCAAAAGAGCAAACAAACCCCACACTGCTCTACTGCAGCGCAGAAAACAGCTGAATGTGTGGTATGTGATGCCACATACCGCACAGCTGCACTTGTCTGGACGTGGCCCAGGAGAATAGGAGCAAGATCAAGTGAATCATGTCCACCTCATACCTGATGTATTCAAATAAAGAAGCTGTTTCAAACTGAGTCTCTTGTAAAGCCTGATTTTATATTCCCTTTTTTTTAAAAAGCGTTTACACACTAAGCATTAGTTTGCTAAAACAAATTAGATTATTTGTTTTGGACAGTGCTTTTCAACCTTTTTTAGACTCAAGGCACCCCTCAATAGACTTGAGATACCTCCTTGGAAAACGTCAGCACTTAAGTTTTAACTCAATTTCTGAATACAGAAAAATAATAGATCATTTCTTCAGTTGAAAAGAACTCAGTCCACAGCAGGTCAGAATGGTTTGAACACTATGGATTCCTATTTGAAATCTCTGGGTTTATATTGTGAATCATGCTTGCACACCTAACAGTGCTAACACTGAGTGGCACCCTGCATCACTACTGAAAGCACCTCAAGTATCATGGAGTGCCCTGGTTGAGAATCACTGCTTTAGGACGTACACACATTTCACAATACACTGGGTGCATCTACATGTGTGCTTTATTGCGGAGTAGACCAATTAACTCCACAGTAAAGCGTCAGTCTACATATGCACCAGTATTAGGGCACGGTAAACTAATTAACTCCTCCGTAAGGCATTATGGTGGAGTAAGTACCTGCACAGAAACACACATGTAGACAGTGACACTGGATGAGGAACAAGGGTGCTTAAGTGCCTGTTGGCTGCCTGCTGGTTAGCCACATGGCTCCACAGGTTCTTCATCCTTGTGTTCCAGCCAGCCCCTCCACTGCCGAACACCACCACTCAGAGCCTAGGGCTGACCCCCCCATGCCACCTGCCATCCCAGGGCAGCTCTGCGCTGGCTCAAAGTGCTGTTGTCCTGGGCACATGTGTAGACGCCGTGCCCAGGAGCAGTGTACTCCAACTCAAAGTGCTACGGAGTTTATTGTGTTGCATCAATTGCACATGTAGGTGCACCCGCTGTGTGACACAGAGCTAATAACAAGATTTGAGTTATTACCAGCATTCCCTTACACCCTCTACAGACAATTAAGTGACATGGCAGTCTCATTATTCACTCTAAACAACACCCACTTCAAGAGGAAAACACCTCCAAAATAAGGTTAAAGATTAAACTGGAGCCAGTTACAAAAACAAGAGCAATTCCTAGGGAATTACTCTTCAGTTATTTTGAGATTGGCTGATCAGCACAAAAGCAGTGCTGTCTGGAATAAGACAACAGCTGGGAAATTCTAAATAAAACCATTTTTTGCTGAAGGACTTCTTTTTAGATCAGATGAACATTCCAATTAGTTCTGCAAATTCAAAGATCCTGGGCCCTAATCCTGCAACTGACTTTGTGCAAACGGATCCTGCATCCCAAGTAAAGTCAATGGATTTCAGTGTATGCCTACAAAGGAATGTCCTGCAGGGTAGTGGGGTATAGACTCCTAGTGGTAATTATAGAGGAAGCGCGTAAAAATCCTCATAGCTAGGTTGCCTAATACTTTCCATTATAAAGGATTCTTTTCTCTGAGAAACATTAGCACCTCTGTTGTTTGCAGCATTTGATATTCAGCCTGGAAAAAATCCCTCAGGCTATAAAAGTGCTTCTTCTTTACTTAGGCAGGTAAGGTTCTATGTTCATAAACCAACAAGGCCCTCTTCTTCACTCAGAGATATTCCAGACTTCTTTGTGTTGTGAAGTATTAAAAATCATGATTTCCTTTCTCTCCCTCCCTTGCCAAAATATTCTAGAGCAGCAGTCATCAACACTTCCTGGCAGTGGGCCTGAATGATCCAGCTCAGGTCCCAGGAAACCAGCACTGGGACCTGGCCGCTACCAACGCCACTGCTTCTCCCTGTTACCAGCCCACAGCACTGGCAAAACTCTCCCTGGCCACCAAATTTCCCCATTGTGGGAACACAACCAATAACCCCTCCCCCGCAGCTTTGCAGACTAGATCCAATGGCTTTGAGCCATAGGTTGCTGACCCCTGTTCTAGACCAGCTGATCCAGTCTGCCATGCCAGAGCAGCAGCAGATGTTGCATCGGGACCACTGAGAGTTGCTAGAGCAAGCTGTAGGGCAAGCTGTAGGTTGTAGTTGCCAGGCAGGGCTTTTTCCTCAGAAAAACCTTTTCACACACTTGCCCATCCATCCCCTTTCATGCATTTCCAAGACAGACACAAAGCATGGCCCCAGTGACCTAATCATCCCCACCCTCGCTAGACTTCCATGCAGAGCAAGCAGGGACGTCCCCCACTCTGAGTGGAAGGATACAGAGCCAGGACACGCCCCCCATAATCGTTCCTGGACTCAACACATATCCCTATTATCTTAGCCCCTTTTGAAGGAAGCACATGGATCAGCCACTCCCTAGCATTTCATAATTTTTAAGTGTTTGATTTTTCCACCTAACCAACATCCTTTTAATTTAGTTCTTGCTTGTAATATATAATTAAATATAAAAAATATGTTAATACAATGTACAGGGTGGGATTTAAATTTCACAGATGCCGAGAAAATTATGGTTACTGTGTCTACAAGTTTCTCAGATCTCTGCACCTGATATATGTCCAGTATAATGTAAGACCCAAGCAGGATTTTTTTGGAGAAAAAAATCTAAAAAAAAAAAAGGGTGGGGGTCAGATTCTTCTGTTTTTCACAGAAGGCTTCCCCCCTTAAGGCCATAGTTTTCAATCAAAATGAACATTTTATAGGAGCATTTTTGGTTTGAGTTATATTTTTCTTTATTTTTTTTGAGTAAAAAAACATGAAAAATCCATAAATGATTCTATATTTTGTAAACACCTATTTGGAAGTACAATATCCTGTAGCAGGTAAAACACTTTGATCATAAGGAACTAATTCACTTATGACTGGAAAGGGAACAAAGAAGGGCGGTTTACTGTGACATTTCTTCCCGATAAAGCTTTTCCAGAATCCCTCTTTTGCTGTCTTTGGGGTATGCAACAAGTTTTTTTTTAATGCATATTTTTGGCCATGCTTGAGCTTTTACTCTTGTTACTTCCACTTACAGTTTGGGACTAAGAAACTGTAAACTGTCTAATAGGGATCAAATTTATCCTTCTACAGGGAGTGTGATCGTGTTCCATTTTTGGGGACTCCCTGAGCTTCTCTACATGGGGAAATTTGCAGGCAATAAACTAGGCAGGGTATGAATTTACAGCATGCTAATTACTGAATACTACCTTTCTATGTACTCAGTAAAAACAGCTTTCAAGATGGAGTGAGCCATGCCAAGCAGAACTGCTCTAATTGCACATTAAGAGATTAGTATGCAGTGACTAGTGCACTATACATTCACACTGGAGCTTATGAAATATTACTTTTCTCATGTACATGAACTCTACATCCCTGTACATTTTTGCTGGAGAGTGCATTTTTTCTATAGGTTTAAAAAAAAAAGTCTTTTTTTTTAATTGCATGGTTGTCTCATTATTGTTATCTTTGCAAGTTAATAAAATAAATAAATATTATAAAATAAATAATGCCAGTGTCTTAGCCTTTAATTGAACAGGGTGTAATAACCAGGCATATGTGGGATTATTTCTGAAAGCATACTAGTGGGCACATTTAACTAATTACACAGTCACTACACTTCTAATACCCAAATGATTATTGTGAAATGCTTTGAAATATCTCAACAATTAATACTACATAGAAGAAAATTTGGTTTAATAATTTTTGTACTACTCTATTTATAAACTATTATTGAATTGTAAACCACTATAAACAATAATCTTTTAACAAAACATTATAGCTTAACATCAAAGTTACGAAAACACACTAGTATATATCTTAAATCACTAACTACAAGCAAAGTAACCTGTAAAGAAAAAATGAGACTATAGCACATTTATGTAAATAATAAATAAAAATATTAGTCTAATAAAAAAAGAAAGATACATTAGTGAGCAGCTTAGTTTGTCTAATGTATTGGCTTAGCTTTGTCTCCCAGGGATATAGTCATTTGACTTGTAAATGCACGTGTGCGCACACACACTATAACATCATACAGATTATGAAATCCCATTTGTTTTTGTTCAAAGTTACTCATCTGAGTATGACATATATATTATATATATGTCTCCATACTTATAATAAATGTTTCTGCTGTATTGTATGTTAAGATAAAATAATTCAGTATGAAAAGACCTAAATAAGCATAAAATTGTGCGACAAGGGATAACAGAACAGACTCTTAATAAATCTCTTATTTAGTTGAAATAATTAACTTTTCTTAAATGAGTACTAAAGTCCTTTGGTAACTCTAAAAACAAAGCCAGTTTCCCCACCCCTAAACAGTAATCTGAATTCCCAAGCCCAGCGCAATTTCAAATACATTTTCAGTAATGCTCAAAGATGTTGTTCCATCAAGCTCAACGGGAGTAACAAACTCTTCGGAAGTCAGAGGAGCAGTCTGAAGTTCAGAATAGACTGACTTCTTTATAGAGGTTTCTGTTTCTACAATGACATTTTCTGCAGTATTATGCGGCCAGGGCTGACACCTTGTGAGAGGTACTTCCACTGATGAACTGCCTCTTCTGTAAGAGGCATCTCTCTCTCTTTTAACATTATTATGATCTAATGAAGATGATGTCTTGCTCACAAGACCCTGATCTAAACCTGTAATAGTATTATAAACTGCTACATTCAGCTTCAAATATCCATCATCTGCTTCTCTGTATCTAAAGGAATAAAATTAAAAGTAATGAAAATAAATGTCAATGTATACAAACAAAATTTACAGTATAAGATGCAAATAACATCTAATTAAATGGTTTAAACATCAAAGGTTAGCATTTAAAGATGAATCATAAAAAGCAACTTAAAATGGTAGTTAAAATATATAAAAATATATAACAAATGCAACGGCTGCCTATACACATGCTCAGAAGCAGGGAGGACATTTTAATTAGAACAGTTTCCAGGCAGCCGCTCTAATTAAAATGCTGCCACATCACATGTATTAAGTCCCCACACGTTTAAAAATGGCTGTGGGACGCTATCTATACCTCATTCCACAAGGTATAATTAAAGTGCCCCACGGACATCTTTAAACACTGTGGGGCTTAATACGTGTGAAGCTGCAGTGCTGCTGCAGCGTTCTAATCAGAATGCATGGGAGCACTTGTATAGGCAGCCAATGATACTATTTTGTGCAACTCCAACTATACTTGAAATGTGCACAAGTAAAGAAGCAATATATACAAATATTACACATTATTACAAGAGCTTCCCGTTCTCTAAATTAAGAACCCGAACTTCTCTGCAAGTGCCCATGGGTATTTTTATGTTGGCCGTCCTTGTCCTTACAGATGTAACTTATACTTTCAAACAGATACTTTTTGTGGTCTAACTGTCTACATGAGGGATTCTGTCAACATTATGTTTAAGGGTGTGATTTTTCATGACTACACAGTAATGCCAGCAAAACATTTTCTGACTAAGACTAAATTAAGTCTACAACAATCATCAGTTAGCTAACTGTACCCAGAACAAGAGAAATTTTTGCTTTTTGTTAAAAACAAATTGATAATGTACCTGAAGCGAGAAGGACAGCTGAGTTTGTGTGTTTTGCGAAGGTGGAGGGTTAATGGGTAACACCAAGAAAAACACTTCTGACAGATGTGACATTTGTATTTTTGAGTGCTGTTCTGGAGGAAAGAAGGTGTTAAGAGTTGATAATCAAGGCTGATGATAAATATATAAATACAAATTAAACATGTACCATATATTACTTTAAATGGAAAAAAGTAAAATTACTTTAACTTCACGTTTTGTTTCTATAAACCTTACAATGTGTTCTCTGTCTAAGTATACATTTCTGATATGCGATCTCCAGTAAATACTGCTGCTCTCTGAACAGCTTAGTTATACTCAGACTTTAAAGGTAGGCAGGTCTCTGACTTCCACTAGAACAACTGCAGCTTACACAAGCAAGAAATGGGAAACATGCTGGATTACAATACAACTACCATAACTCAGAAAAATCCAAGTGTGTACACCTAATCTAGACAATGAAAATGTTTATAGGTGCACATAAGGCAGATGTCCACACATATGCATTCAAGCCTCCTGAACATTTGTGCACTTAAATGCCTGAATTGCACACACATTTTGGATATCTCCAAGTGTAAATGACTTATGTGCAACTGTACATACTACATTTTGAAAAAACTGATTTTTACCATCTCTTAAAAGATATTCCAGTCCATTGTGCTTTTTTAAACACCCACCACATGTGCTTTCTTGTAATGCTGTCTTAAAGTCTGTAAAGTCCGGGCAGTAAAAATGCATCCTTCTATGTCACAGCTGTAGGCATCTGAATCATTGTGTGTTTCAACATGTTTCTGCAGATCATATGCATTCTTAAAACTGTGAAATATTGAGATGAAGCAAACAAATTATATTTAGGGTTAAAAACAACAGAAGTGGGGAGTGGTTGAAGCTCAGGCTGGGAATCATGAAATTTTGAGCTCTTTTCTTGGCTTCAGCAAGGAAAAGTAAAGAACTTGTGCCAATCATTTATTCTCTCCACTTAATTTTTTCCCTTTGTGAAATGTGGATAATTCTGCCAACATTCCCATGATTGTAATTTGCAGCTCATCTTCTCACTTTCTTTGTACTCCTATAGCCATATCCAAATCCAGTTGAAATGTGTAAGCAGATCTTGTGGCAGGAGGACAACTCAGAAGAGGAGCTTGCAACTCCCATAAAATATCCAGTAACCATTGTCAATGCTAAAGCCCATAGTTGGAGAGCTACCCAATTTAAGAAAACACATTAATACTAAACATGACTTGAATATACCACTGATGAGTTTTCTGATAGTCTGCACAGTCCTGCCTTGAAAACTCATCTTTTAACATTAAGAAGAAAAGCATCAATCCTACTGGCACCACAAAGTTAGCAAGTACCTATAAAAGTATGTATTCCAAGAGGGCAGTGTCTTGGTCTATTTAATTTCTAAAAGGATGGCTATTTAAGGGTTGAAAGTTTTTCCTATTGTGGGCGTCTCTTACACTGAACACTAAATTATTTTCAGACTTCTGCTGATGAGATAGGGCCTTGTACAGACATTCAGTTTCCTCTAGGAGAGTTGCTGCTCCCCCAGGGGAAACCATTAGTGTACAGATTAGTGTACAGCTATTAGCCTGTACACTAATGGTGTACATTAGTGTACACCATTAGTGTACAGGCTTTTTCTCCCAGAGTAAAAATGGCCACTTCAAAAGAAAAACCTGAGAACAACCAGGGCTAAATCACTCCCTCCAGAGTTTCTCCTGGGAGAAGAAATGTCTGTACATCCTGTGGCTTAGAGGATCCTTCCTCTCCTCCTAGGGAGATAGTGTGTTGCTCACTGGACTCCACTGCTCCAGTGGGGAGCAGAACACATCCCCTTCAAAATCACTTCATTGTGCTGCAGTGAAATACAGACTGACCACAGACAGTCTAGGTCAGCTAATCAGGGCTGCCCTGTGTACTCCTGCAATGTGCTGCCAGGCCAACTAAGGGAGCCTGCTGAGCACACTGAGATGTGTGCACAGGACACCCCCATGGCTGCACAGTGTCAACACTGCAAGCTCTCCACTCTCTTCAGGGCCTCAGTATTTTCATGTCTGTATACACAGCTCTGGTAGTTTCTCTGACAAAACAAATCTGAGAAAATTCTGGGTGAATGTGTGGACGTAGCCTAGGACCCTCATATCTTCTTACCTGCTCTCACAGTGATCACAATGGAAAGGGCGTTCATTGCAGTGTCGGAATCTGATGTGCACTTTCACAGAGGAAATGCTGGTACATACCATGTCACAAAATGGACAAGTAATGCGGGTGACTGAAGAAGTAATTATACTTTTAGTTGTATGTCATGCCTTTGCCAAAACCCTAAAGATGCTGCACAATATGATAAAACATTTAAAAAACCACTCTCAGTCAAGTTAACAAAACAAAATTGGAGTATGATGCACAAAAGGAAAAGAGGAATATGACAGAGTAATAATAAGATCAAATCAAATAAGAAATCTGCTGTCATCTCTCCAGCACTTTATCTACGTGCAAAAGGTAATTGAAACAGCTACTGCAAAATAAACTACTCTGAAATAGCTCCAAATGTGCACAAGCTTATTTCAGAATAAAACTGTTTTTTTTCTGATTTAAGATAAACTGATAAAGCGGTCTGATTCAGGCATCAGAGTGTTCCCATAGGAAGTTATTTCAAAATAGTTACAAGCCCTTTAAATTCATGTCCTACTGATTCCTGAATAATTTTTTAATGTAGACAAGTTCTTAATAGCTTATAAGGGCTTATCCGCCTCAGCAAGCTATGGCATAATGTGCTAGGGCATGGATTTGAAGTGCAACAGCTAGCAAGAACTAACTTCTCAGGCAGATGTTCTGTTCTTCGCAAGGAACGCCTTTGCACAGTTTAGCTTAATTCACTTCCAAAACAGAAGGACAAAGGAAGTAATACACAAAAGCTAAATACATTTTTCTTTTTTAAAAATTAACTTGATTAAATTTACATTTGAGATACGATAAGCTATATGAAGGCCTAAATTTAGTATCAATTATTATACTATAGTTAATAGTATAATATTATACTATGGGGAGGAGGCTGACCTGCTCCACTGAGCTTTAAACTAAGACCACTGGGGGACAGGGGGGACTACTGCCACTGCTGGCCCACTGAGCAAACCTTGCAAAGCCAGCAGGCAAAGGCACTTAAGGGAGCCCACCCCTGCCCCAGCCCTGGTACAATCTGTGGGCAAGGCAAGAGCCACGAAGGGGATACTTGACTGCCTGTACACAAATGCCAGGAGCTTGGGGAATAAAAGCAGAAGGAGCTAAATGCAAATAATTATGTCTTACGGATAACAAAGACCTGGTGGGACTCCACCCATGACTGGACCACGGGTATAGATGGCTATACCCTGTACAGGAGGGATCATGTAGATAAAAGGGGTGGGGGCGTAGCTCTCTACGTTAAGGAA